AAAGCCTATTTTCTCGCAGCCTAGTCTGTCCATCGCTTAGTTCTAATCTAGACGTTGCTCTCAAATGCTGCTTGGCCCGACCGTCTCCGGTAGCATTCGGAATGATATGATAGCGAGGTACAAGATGCCGCCGCTCTCACTTCTCACATTGATCAGCCCCGACCCGGCTGTTGTAAGCAAGTGGCTGGCGAAGCTGAAAGCAGCTTGGAGCCACCTGGAATCACTGGAGGCGCTTGCTGCTGACGTGGTGGAAGCCCAGTGGTTCTGCACCAACCTTCTTGCGCCTGATACGCTTTAGCCAGGGAGTTCCAGCTGCGTTGGTGCTTGAAACTACGATGAGTATATGTCGCCTCGCGAATGTAGGATGAATCTCATACATGCAAGCCACCTGCATACCCAACATCGCTTGACAGACTTAGGGTTGATAAAGGTTTAGTAAGGGCGTAAGGGCGCGTGCCTGTGCTGTTCGTTCTTTCTCAATGCGCTGAGGTACCCCGCCAGCAGTATGCGCGAGAGATCTTGGTCCGTCTTCTTGAAGCAGACTTCAAGGAGGCGGTGGAGTCCATGGAGAACTTGCGTATTAGCTATAGCATAAAGTTTCCCAATATTGGGTTCTGGACACTGACCGAGTGTGAGCGCATGCAGGTGCCGAGCAGTGTGCTTGTTTCGCTGCAGCAGTATGCATCGTCGCATTTGTCCACTTTGCTCGTGGAGCAGCTCTTCAACGACTGTCGCAGTTGCGCGTCACAGAATCGCGGCCAGAAGCAAGACACTCAAACAACGTAGCTTGTTTAATGTGGAAGACTGTTCCTTCTCTGCTTTGACTGGTGCAGGGCATGTGGTTTTTAAGCATGGGTGGAATCAGAAACTGTGGCATCAGCAAGCCACAACGCAGGTGGCATGTGGCGTCTTTGGGAAGTAAAACCATGGCAGAGTTCGAGCGCAAGAGCTTGCCCATCACCTCCAGTGCCAGAAGCTGTGCCCCGAAGCGACTGGCGAGCACGGGCTTGTTTACTGGTGCGAACGCTGATTGTTCCATTGCGCCTCATCACCTGGAACATCTGCAATGCGACCGGCCGGACTGGCCCAATTTCGATGCCAAGGGCTTCAAGACTGCCGCCATCATGTGGCAGCTCTTAGAGGCTCCAGCTGCCACTGTTCAGAAGCCCAGTTTCAAAGTTTTTACCACTCCAAAGTGGTGCCACAATTATAGGTCTTTTCTAGAGTGATGTGAAAAATATTCCAGCTTGTGTAATGTTCGGATGGTTTCAGCTACGGTCAAAGAAGGCTCGTGTTGGCAATACCACGGGGTTCTTATCTTGCAATCTCAGCGTTAAAGTATTCTATTTGCCGTTTGTCCTTTTCGCAGGCTCAGCAGGGCGACTGGAAACGGATGGAGTGCGCTTGGTTTTCCTTGCTGCTCACTCCGGGCACTTTGGTGATAAAGAGAAGCACAAACAAAACCTTCCTGGTGTTGCACAGCAGCCAGCACGGTGCCTTCCTGTGGCGGGCTCCTCCAAAGCGGTCGGGAGAAGTTGAGCTCGCGCCTGATGTTCAGGAGTCGCTTGTTTTCTGCGCGGTTGAAGATCCGAATGAGTGGCGAACGACGGGCCTGGATGTTGTGCACCCTCGGCCGTCAGGGAAAGCGGGCACTGCGTTGGTGCCTCATCCGCACGGGATGCCTCTTCTCCGCCATGCTGCCAGAACTGGCTTCAAGAACCTAACCGTGCCTTTCCTGAAGAAGCTTCATGCCAAGCTGCAGGTGCCATGGACACGTGGGCAGAAGCCGAGCACTGAAGTGCCGCTTGTGGCTGCGCTGGTGAAACATGTGCTGGGCGACACATGCACAAAGCAAGAGCTCGAGGATTCTGTCGCTGCCCGAGGGAAGGTCATCTCTTCAGCCATTCTCTCTGCAACCGGCCGTGCTTTTCATCGGATGGGCGACGAGGACGACGATGAGTCGCACTCCGACAACGATGAAGATGTGCAGAAGCAGTTTGAGAAGCTGAAACAGCGCCACTCGGCAGCCAAAGCTCGTGAGCAGGCACGTCTGGAGAAGCTTGAGCCATTGCCGGGCGCCCGGAGTGCGAAGCCGGCTGAGCCTCGCAGATCCCTGGTGCCGTTCTTGATGACTGGGTATCCTGAAAAGGAAGCATGGAAGTTCATGCCTCCTGGCTGCTCCATTTACAAAGACCTCTTGCGCGAGAATCGCTGGCGAGTGAGGTCCAAATGGTGGCCTGAGAGAACCAAAAGCTATGGGAGCGGCTCTGCAGTGACTGATTTTGGAGCAATGAAGGTCTGCATCCTTCATGCTTGGGCACGCGAGAAGGCACGGGTTGGAGCCGAATGCCCTTGGGATTTTCCAGACGAGGATGGCCAAGTGTGAAGCAAGGCGTCCTCGGTACTTGTTGGACATATGCTGCACACGCGCAAGAGCTACACATACATGCGAACATACAGGCATATGCCCACACACACATGTATATATGTGCAGTATCACACAATGTGCATGCACAGCTTTGCCGTAGATGCTCCATTTGTCAAGTCCAACAGTCAATGCCCAGCCATGTTCGGCACACGACGTTGTGTGAAAGGACTGGACCCACGTTTTCCAAGGCCCTGAAGCCTAAACCCGAAAACCCTAAAGCCCTGAACTTTTGGTTCTGACTCTGAAGCCTTTAAAGCTTCAAGCCTTGCCTCCCGGAACCTGGCAGCATTTGTTTCAGTTCTTTGCTTCAATTGTTTGTAGTGCATTGTAGTGACTAAGTACGTGACCAAGTACAGCTTTTCACCAGTCAAATCAACAACGTCTTCAAGCGGTTGAAGGTGGCAGGGCAATGCCCACGTAGAGAAGAGGTGCATGGGCCAAGGCGGACGGTTCAACCTCGAACCGCAACCCAATCCCAAGCTTTAATGCTATGATAGTAGCTCATGTGTCTCTTTTCCCCGTCAACAAGAGCCAGAAGCCTCCGCAGAGTCGTCCTGCACGCAAAGAGAATCCTGGACTTCGCCAAGACTGTCTCACGCATGAAAGCGTTCAACAAAAGGCTCCTGTGACAAGCAGATATGTTGGACAACGGACCCCAAACCATATCATGTTTACAGGTATGATGGTGTGTAGAGTCGGCGTCAACGTGTTTTCATTCTAGAAGTGTGGGTCACAGGATGGTGGCAGGGAGACACAACACCAAGAGGACCCTTTGTAAAGGCACTGTTTGGGAACCCCCGACTTTTGTTGGTGCATCTACGCTTGATTTTGGTTGTCGTGCTGTTAAGGGCCCTAAACCCTAATCCCTTTATCCTAATCCCGGAACCCTACACCCTAAACCTTAAACCTTAAAACATCCTGAACTCTAAACCTTAAACCTTAAAAGAATTAAACCCTAAACCCTAATCTTTAAACCTTAAAACATCATAAACCCTAAACCTTGAACCTTGAAAACCTTGAACCCTCAAACGTCAAGGACCCTAGACCATAAACCCAGGAGTTGACTGTCCTATCAGCAGCTGGGACGTGCTAATCTAGGTGGGAATTTGGGTAACTTTTTTAATTTCCCTTATGGTTCCTATAGAGGTACCTATTCATAAATAGTTTTCAGAGCCCCAAAACTACAACCCAGTAATGGAGGGGCCTAAGGAACTGCCAATCTAGGTGGGCTTTGGGACAATTTACATGTTCCCTTATTGGGCTTAAGAGGATCTTATTTGCCAATATAATTCAAAGGCTTTAAAAGCACCTTGCGATAATAGTTTGGGGGGTTCCCTTTTTATAACTATTGTAGAATGGGCCCAAAAGCCCCTATTCTAATTCGTAAGGCCCCTATAATAGCAGTTGTTCAGGTCACTTTTTGCTTCAAGGCACTGGGACTCAGCGCGCTAAACCCCTAGCTGCCCTTTGAAACGGGTGGCACAATGGAGCAATACAAAAACTATGTATATATATATATATGATAAAAATATATAAATATATGTAGAGAGAGAGGCCTGGGGAAAGATATAGGCTTGAACAAATTTCTGTACTGTTTTGGGGGGATCCTTATTATAATGGTACCATAATGGGCCCCAAAACCCTATTCTACTTCTTAAGGCCCTCACAGCATGGGGATCCAGGTTTTTCGGGATCGTTTCGAGGTTGGGTTTCTCTGTCATGGTGTTACTTACTTTTAGTTAGTAGGGAATGGAGGAATGGGGTACAAATTTAACTACTATTACTACCATTAGGCACTAGGCATTTCATGGTTGACGAGCTTCGAGGCTGTGGCAGGTGTTGCGGGTTGCGGGTCTTAGAGTTTTAAGTCTTGAGCACAGGGCTTTCAGGGATTTACCTTTCAGAGTTTACTCAGCTGTCCAAGCTTGTCTTTCAATGTGCTTCGGTAGAGAAGGCTTCCTTTGCGCTGCTCTTCACAGATCAGGATTTAGGGCTTAGGATTGAGAGACATTGGGCTTAGGCATGCGATCTGGCGGTTCTGCACCCAAGATTTGGGTTGGGAGATGTTGGGGGGATCAGCATGTAATGTATATCCAAGGGTTCATGGTCGATAAGGAGCAGGGCGTCTAAACTGTCTTGTCAAAATACCATGAACCCCAAACACAGACTTGGAGTCAGGAAATACTGCGTCCACTGCGACCTGAATCTGCGGAAGCCCAACATCCCCGATTATCTCATGCATTCGAGCAGAAACCCGCAGAATAATCTGCCCCAGATCCCAAGCACCAAACCCCAACCCTAGTAACATCGCAGCTGCACGCTGCTGTAAGCCCTACAGGCCCGCAGCCTTATAAGTCTCAGCAGACCTCAAGTCTCAATCCTCATGCCCAATGCCCAAGATTAGATCCTACAGTAGAAGCCCAAAAGTTGGAAACCCCATAGCCTCAATCCTTAAGTGTAATGTAATGTATAGGGAATCCCAGCACTATTTGGCCTTAATCCGGTTTCCAACTTTTTGGGGTTTACTATAAGCCCTACACCCTTAAACACTTTAAGCAGCAACCCTTAGCAGGGGCCGAAAGATCCTGGAGACGCAGCGAAGAGGTTCGACAGAGAGATCGGTGCTGAGTACTACATGCTTAGGGAGATTGGAGCCTCTGCATGCTGATGCAGAAATTCAGAAAAAGGCAGGATTGAACCCAAGAACAAGAAAGGAACTTGCATTGAGAGCCTTATCAAGTGCACATTTCAAGGGGGCTGGGGTTTCGCGCGTTAGGAACGTGTTGGGTTTAGGGCTTTCTGCTGCCAGAAGGTGCAAGGCAGCTTTTCTTTTGTTGTCGCTTTGTGTGCCTTACGGCTTTTTTTGGGGTGACCTTGGCGTTGGGGAGTTGGACTTGATATGGTTTGTTTTAGATTCAGATATAATCTGTTTGGGCAGGGTGGACCGAATCTGCCGTGGTTAGCGAAATAGGAACAAGCGCGCACACACACACACACACACACACACACACACACACACACACACACACACACACACACACACGCACGCACACAGACAGTGAGAAAGTGATGCACCGCAATGCCTGTGAGCCTTACCAGCTGCTGGTGCAGCCAAGAAGCTAAATACTGAACCTCGACCCTGATGTAAAGCCCCAAACCCAAGCCGGAGCTGCTGTCATTTATGAAGGAGATAGCAGCGACATTTGAGGGCAACTACAAGACTCTTCACAAGACTACATACTGCAGGGGTACACTTAAGGACATTGGTCTCGACAACGGCGCTAGGACCCTCAGAGAGCTCAGAGCTCTCTCTGTCAGGCCGATGTTGGGCTGGACATCTTCCGAAGGATTCTGGCTCAAGGCAGGGAAGAGGGTGGGGGAGAGGGGGCATCAAAGGGTTTCTTACTGGGGATTCTTGGATGAAGACTCCACCTCAGTTTAGGCCCCGAAACCCTAAACCCTGAACCCTTGTTGTTTCCACCTGGTAAACTATTCTTGCTGCACTTGCAATCGGAAAAGGTCCCGCCAAAAAAAAGAACCCTTGTTGTTTAGCCCCCCTTTTTTCTGGAGATCCTGTTCGGTGATTCAGGGATTTCGAGCTCTTGGGGTTCAGATTTAATTGGGGATCTGAGGGTTTCGTAAGGGTCACTTAGTGGCAAATGAACTCGGCGTTCTTGTGGTTGGCTCTTAGGACTCTAACTATAAGGTTTCTACATGAACCAGAATGAGGAGGCTAAAAGGTTAGCTTTTAGGAGGGGTTCGGTCACTTAGTGGCAAATGAACTCGGCGTTCTTGTGGTTGGCTCTTAGGACTCTAACTATAAGGTTTCTACATGAACCAGAATGAGGAGGCTAAAAGGTTAGCTTTTAGGAGGGGTTCGGTCACTTAGTGGCAAATGAACTCGGCGTTCTTGTGGTTGGCTCTTAGGACTTTAACTGTAAGGTTTCTACATGAACCATAATGAGGAGGCTAAAAGGTTAGCTTTTAGGAGGGGTTCAGAAGTCAGGCAAGTGAAGGTTAATTAGTATCCGGTGGAGTAGATAGGCGACGTTACCTGGAGTCGTGGGAATGGGGCGGGTAGGAAATCAACAAGTGCTTCAAACCCTGCAAACTCCAAAACCCTTGGTTAGGGGTTTGGATTCTGGTTTTCGGAGTGGGTGGAGCTCAAGGGCCTACCCCCTGTAGCTCTGTTCACTCAAAGCCCTAAACCTGAAGCCCCAAACCTTAAACCCTCCATGACTAAACCCTCCATGAACCCCGCCCGTAACAGAAAGCCTATAGTGCCCTAAACTCTGAACCCCTATAGTTTTGAAGCGTTTCACTTTTTTCGGCTTACGGTCGTAATGCTCAGTAACTGTAGGTTTCAGATCAAGCCTTTGGGTTTTATTTCGGGTTTAGGCCTGGTGATGCCTGGGTACCTTAAACCTGGACTCCAAAACCCAGACATACTCACGGAGCCATGTGGGAGTTTCCGAAAATAAGGGACCCCAATATAGTAGCCTAAATAGGATCTTTATGGTAAGGGCCCCAAAAAAAGGTACCCCGTATTTTCGGAAACTCCCATGTCAAGCAACAAATAGCTTAGCAATCTCGCAGTCTGCCTGCTGGGAAAGTCATCCGGACCGGCCGGGTAGTTCCCGAATGTCGGAACCGCTGGAAAGTCACCTCCGCCGCGCTGACCTGCCAGAGCGACACCGGGCAGAGAGCCCCCTGGAAAAGATGCAAAGTGACCCTACAAACAGGTCTGCCAGAGCGACCCCCCCTGAAAAAAATGGAAGGTGAGCCCACAAACAAGTCCCAGACAGGGCGAAACCGTCCGCAAATGTGGCACTGTTAAGGTCTTGCTCGCTCGCCCGGGACCTTCCGACCTCACCGCGTGCCCTGAACGCGGGGCAAGCGGCCTGAAGCCCGTTTCAAAGCACAGGCCTCCCATCAGCTTGACCGGGTTGGTGGGTTTAGGGCTTGAGGGTTTCGGGGTTACGATTACCTAGTAGTAGAGAGAGCAGGGAACCTTTAACCTTTTTCGGGTAGTATAGTCCTTACATAGTCCCTACATAACCAAAAAGGTGAGCCTTTAGTTCCCCATGAACAAGTAGGATTAACTGCATAGAGAGGCCGTACTATTCAGAACTTGGTTTAGGGTTTTAGGAGGTGCGGTTGACTGAATAGAAGGGTGTTACTATTCGGAACAGGTGTTCGGGTCTACGGCAGCGCTAACACGGAAGCCTTACTACGGTTGATGATATAGATCCTGCATTACCCATAGTAATAAGAAGGAATATACCATATGTCCCATAGTTTAGGGTCCTTAAGTAATGCAGGATTTATATAATCAACAGTATTGAGAGCTATGGTATACTAAATTATGTAGGGTTGGAAGGGGATACCAGTACTGGCCTTAACTATTTAGAAGAGGGTGTTGGGGTATATCGTAAACAACGGCTAAACTACTCTGGGGTTCCTTATTATAGTTATAGTATAGGGGCCCCCAAAACCCTATTCTAATCATAAAGGCCCTCTATAGTAAACCAACCCCCAGTGCCCGTGAACCCGGAACCCGAAACACAAACCTAAACCCCAAACCCTGAGCGCTAAAATGACTGAGTAAAGAAAGCACCCGCGAAAGGATGCGAAAGGAAAATTCCAGCTCTGCGGCGATTTGGAACCTGAGTCCTGGCCTTTCAAGCGGAATTCGAGGATAGGGTTTACAGTTTAGGGTTTTAGGGTTTAGAATAAGGTTAGAGTTTTGGGCTTTCATACGGAATGCGAGCATAGGGTTTAGGAGTATAATGTAGGGGCCTTAAGAATAGAGTTTTGGAGCCCATTATAGTATAGTTACAATAAGGAGCTCTCCGAAATGGTAGAGGTAATTATTGAGGCCCCTATATTAGGGTTGAGAAGAAAGGTAGAGTTTTGAGCTTAGGGTTGGGGTTCAGGGTTTAGGGCTCATGGGTTCAGGGGTTCAAAAGAAAGACCTGGATAAGCAGCGATACTATCTCCTTCTAATCCCTACGTCATCATAATAATAAGACATGACCCCTTACAACGCTTATTATTTAAGTTCCAGTGATTCAGGGCCCTGTGTTTGCGTTCAGCTGTTCATGGAGTGTGGGATATAGTAGGTCTGGTCTACTTGGAGGGTCATGGGAATGGGTTACAAGTACTGTAAAATCGGGCTGATAAGTTACTATAACTACAGCTAGTTATCACAACTACAGCAACCTTACTCAAAACTTTAGTTACTAAGTCTGATGATCCCTCAAATCCCTAAACCCTAAACCCTGGTTACTAAGTCCCGTGATCCCACCATGGCGGCAGTTTTCGGAGTCTGGCTCACGTGTGATACGTACCTTCGTTGGACTTCCGCCTATCTTCCCCTCAGCATAACTAGGACCCAGAGTAGGCCCTCATTCCCTTTTTTTCGGGGCTCAGGTTCCCTCATTAAAACCCCCTTTAAACCAGAACGGGCACCATTTTTATTCCTAGCTTACTCCTAGGTCTGGATAACCTTCTTGCTGTGTTTCCCGAGCCTTTTCTTAGTTGGCGAGCTGTCCGGGTTCAGGACGTAATCAGGGGAGTACTGTAGACGCCTGCTCAATAAGGGCAGTAATGCTAGGATCCCTATTGTAGTCTTTTTGAGTTGGGGGGTTATTGATCAGGGGTCGGCATCATGAGGCGTTCCTGATAGCTAGACATGAACTTGATAAGGGCTGAGCTTAGCTTGGCGCAGGCCATCTTGGCAGAACCCGCACCCAGACCGTATTCTATGGCGCCGGGGGTTGCCCAACACAGTGCTGCTGCTGGCATTCGAGGCCAGCCATCTGAAAGACATGGCGCGCCTCAAACAGTTCAGGAGAATCCGGATCCGTGCATTCAAGCCAACCTCTGGGCTGCGTGGCAACCTGGACTTCGGTGCCCACGGTCGACACAGTGGGGCATCAATTCCCAATCGGCGGACACCTCTTGGACATCTACTCGAAGTGCCATGTATTCAAGATCTCCGCACAAAGGCTTTATAATCCCCGGACATGCACGTGGGGCAGGGATGCTGGCCAAGCACTGCTCGGCTTTCTGGCAGCGTCAGGCGATGAGCAGCACGGACCCCCTGCGCTCTCCAGGTCCTGGAAGCTTTATTGTAGTGATGGGTGCCTCTGCACAGGTAGGTGTGCTCAGCCATTTCAATCCCAATGTCCTCAAACTGAATATTACCCGAAGTCCTACAACCTAATGCGAGGCGATCATTACAATGACTGCAAGTATGGTACTGTAAGGTACTATAACCCCAGTGGTCTATTGAACTTTATTGCCAAGTCAGTGAAGAAGGTCTTTTCCGGCACGGGCAGTGACATTGCGGAAGAGCTTTCGTGGTGTTGTGCCTGTCGGTGTGACATACCAGGCTGCAGCTGAGAGTAGGCGGTTGCAAGGGCGCGAACAGGTTTGTTAGCTTATTCGTTAAGTTGTTAACTTCAGAGACTGACCTGCTGCTTCGGTGCAAAGGAAAGGATGACTGAAGGTCGTCTGCATCTGCTGGGGCCTTGCAACAACTTGCGGTGAATACTACATAGCTTGTGGTATCTTACGGGTTTCAAGCCCCTGCTTCTCTTCCGCAAGCCCCACCACGGCTCATCAAAACAACGGTGAGAAAAGGCCCTCAAAAAGGAAACTTCAAATATGTGACCTAGGATGCCCAGTGGTACCTTTATTCCCTTATTGTAGTCCTAGGTTCCTTAATACCACAAAGGGAGCCCTTTTTATTCCTAGGTTACTGGGCATCCTAGTAACAGCTCTTCTCGCGTCGTCTCAGCTCCAAACTGAACCCCAAACCATGAACTTGGGGGCACTACTGTTAATGATAAAAACCCTGCATTACCTTAAGGACCCTTAACTATGGGAATTATGGTATATTCCTTACAACGGGTAATGCAGGATTTCTATCATCAACCGTAATGAACAATAGGATTCCATGATCTTTTGTGCGATGACAATGCTGTTCCCAAAACCCACCTTACAGGACCCTTTAAGAGGCCTGTGGCGGCATGCCATTAGTATTGTAGACACCCAAACCCTAAACCCCAAAACCTAATACCCGAAACACTAAAAAAACCCAGTACCCTTTACCCTAAACCCTAAAACCCAATACCGTAAATCCTAAAACCGAAAACCTAGCCCTCGTTCGTGCTGAGGACGGAGGCTTTCGCGGCACCATCGGTGCAGATGGCTCCGCTGGCTCCTTCCACTTGCGCCTTGCGCTACTATGATATGGGGGCCTCAAGAAGTAGAATGGGGTTCCTGTAAAGGGTTCCTTTGAAAGGGGTCTATAAGGGTTACTACAAGGGCTACTATAAGGATTTAGTGTAGGGGCCTAACAATGAGAGTAAACATGACATTACCCCGACTACGGAATATACCATTATTCCCATATCTTTGGGTCCTTACGGTAATGCATGTTTTATATCATCAACAGTGTGAAATAGGGGCCCAATATTGGGAGTAAGCATGAAAAACAGCAGTACGTAGTGAGAAAAGTATCATTAATTGTCACTTGTTGTTGTCGTCGTCATTTTTTGGTGGCAGTAGTAGCAGTAGCAGTAGAATGTAGCAAAAGTCTGCGTCGTCGTAGCAGGGTCAGGTGGGGGACTCGGTAAGTAGGCGAAATATCAGTACCCGAATTGGGTTGTTTGACATCTAGTTTTCATTGACCTATATAGTTAATTCAGAACCAACTTTATACGTGCCCTGGTGTTGTAGTCCTTTGTTTGCAGGCCTCATGAGGGAAACATCAGGCCAACCGCAAGAATCTAGATTGTAGGGGTCCCTTCCTTTAGCCTTGCAAGCGCACCAACAGCATGGTGGTCGAGTAAACTTAGTAAACCCTAACCTGAACCTGGTACCTTAAACCCTCGAGGGTGCCGGGCGGAAATTGCGGGTCATGAGAGGCTGTCGTCTCAGGAAGCTGCAGATTGGGACATCCAGCTTTGCTACGGCTGCACTTGTGGCTGCATTCCCCTAAAGGCACAAGTTCCTAATTTCCCTAAGCCCTAAACCCTAACCCAAACCCTGAACCCTAAACCCTAAACCCTACTACGACTGCACTTGTGGTTGCATTCCCCTCAAGGCAAGCTGCTGGTTTTGCTCAAGAATCCGGGAGGCCACGAGTTTTGGGCTTGTGCTCGCTGCGGTGACCGCTACAAGGGAGGGACCTCGCCGAGGTACCTCTTTGTCAAAATGCCCCGGGCCATGCCGACTTGGCGAACCAGGTCAAGCTGCTCCAGTTGGCCCAGGTGAGCAAGAACCTTCTCGGTTTCTCGGATGAAGATGTGATTCGGGCCATTGCTTGGGAGGCCAGGCCTAGGGCCGCATGCTGATTTATCTTGCCGGATGTTGCGTGGGCTGCATCGGGATCAAGGAGTTCAGTGCTGTATGGTCAAGTGAAACACCTCATCGCGAAAGCCCCGGAGATTTTCCCTGTGGCTGAGAGATCTGCAACTGAAGACAGCCCTTAAACAAAAGGCAGCTATTTTACATTGCTTTAAGGCCCTTCCACGATTCGAGGCTTTTTGCTAAGTTGAGGGTTCTGGAATCTTTGAGCACTTAGAGTGCTTGCTGCTGAGAGGGATGGGCGCTGAGTCCTGAGTGGGGTGCGCATAGTCCCGATCCTTGCAATGTACGCACCTTGCCTTTGTGACTCCTAAGTCAAAGCCTAAACCCTAAACCCTAAACCCCTAAAGTTCATCGGGGGGTTCGGATTTAGAGCCTAAACCCCGGAACTTTCAACTACAAACACTAGAGTTTAAGCCCGACGTCCCAATTACCGTCTTCAAGGACTAGACCTTTAGAGCTTTGAGCTAAAGAGAGCCCCAATTCCCAAAGAAGGGATGCCGAACTCACCTCATAATCGTAGGCACAGCAATAAGACCTGAGAAAAATCGAAGTTTTCCAACAATACTAAGCGTAAGCATAAACGGAATCACAATACATGCAAGAGTAATATGATCAGTAAGATGTGTGGTACGAGCAGTCAATGCTCGAGGCGTCCCTTTGAGACCGTGCTTGAGTACGGCCCAGGAAACCCTGCCGATCGGCTGAATACTGTCTTGCCTTAGTAAGGAATGGGGAATGGATTATGGAGATTATGCTTGGGTATTATATAGGGGCTACTCTAGGATGCCCTGTAGTACCCTTATTCCCTTTTTGTAGTCCTAGGATCCTTATTAAGTTACCCAATACCAAAAAGGGAGCCCATTTGTTTATTCCCAGGTTACTGGGCATCCTAGTACTATAGGGATCCATTCCCCCATTCCTTACTCAGCACCGGACAGTGAATGGCTCGGTTTCGAGAGTCTAATTGTTAGGGTTTAGGGCTTAGGGGTTGGAGGGGTTTTGGAGGGATTTGGGGATTTAGGGGTTAGGGGTGTAGGGGTTTGGGGATTGAAGGGTTTAGGGGTTTAGGGATTGAGGGGTTTGGGTCCATGGTTTTCCCTGCATGTCGGCGGTGCTGCTGGGCTTTGCCGTCATTGTATTTGCTGGAGAGGCTGGGGTTTGGGACTGCAGTAGGGGTTTAGGGATCAGGGAGCAAGGGTTGACATTTTAGGACTGATGCCTTTGGCTCTTTGGATAGGGTTTAGAATTCAGGGTTTACGGTTTAAGACTTAGGGTTAAGTTTAGTGCTTGGGGTTGAGGTTCGCTGGGTCCTCGCAAGGTTTGGGCAGCATGCATGCGGATTGTTGCATGCGCATCAGACTTGCACCCCACAAACATCCCAAACTCGGCTACGTGTTAGACTTAGAGCTTACTTGATGGATCATGGAACTGAGTAGGTAAGGTTATAATTACCTTACTTGATTGGGTTGTAATTGATTTGAACCACAGTTGCCTCGTTTATACCTTTGGTTGCTAAGTCCTGAGAAACTTCAGGCACTGTTACTGTGAAACTCCATCCCCCGAGCACCAAAAGCTTGCAAGCGCCTGCTAAAACCGTGTATCAGCCCTTGTGAATCCCTGACAAACTAAACCCTAAACCCTTTGCCGGGATCCTTTTCTGTGAGGATAGGGAGGGGGGGGGTTCTTAAGAAACTTGAGGTTTGTGGTCGCACGCCCTAAACGCCAATCCCTAAAAGCCTGAACACCAGAATCCTAAATTTGATCCCAAAGTGTATCTTAACCCTAAACCCTACACGCCAACCCCAAAAGCCCCAAGCACTAGAATCCTAAGTTTGATCCCAAAGTGGTTGAGCTTAGGAATGGCTGGCGGGGCAGTGGACGAAACTGCATCCGAACTGGAAGGCGCCTCGGTGGGAACCTCAGGTAGACTATGGTTTTTGTATAGGAGCCTAGATTTTTAGCAAATGCATTTCCCTTATAGCCCTGAATATAGTTGGCGCATGATGTACTTACAAATTCAGAGCTTTGGGGTGTAGGATTAAGGTTTTGGGGTTGTGGAGGGCGCAGGGTTTACAAACAGCTAGGGCTCAGAGATTGTAGCTACCCTACACCCCAAAACCTGAGGGTCGTAGTTCGCGCAAAACGAACAGAGGCTAGTTCGCTGTCCGCTGTGCTTTATATGAAAACCCGGAGCTAGGGAGCCAACTTCGTGGAGGATGCGGGTACTCTGTGATTTAGGGTGCAGGGTTCATATATGAGGTAAAATAGAAGCCAGAAAAAACAATGTACGGGTCAGAGTACCTGTTTAACTACACATGTCATTCCGGACATGTCCTCAGTATAAAAGGTATGACATTCTACACATTAAACACTATGCTGAATATGAAGACCCATCTATTGCTTAATGTTAGGGCTACACTGTTTTAGGTTTTAGGGTTATGATCAGGGGACATAAAAAGCAGAATTGCACGTTTTCCCTCGGGTTGTAAGTGGTAGTAGCATTTGTTACGTTCCCGTACTTATCGCCCTGCACTGATCGTTGAAAGTATTCCCGGCTCCAGGTCGGAAAAGAGGCCCTTTGTTTAGCATGCCCAGTAGTACCCTTATTCCCTTTTTGTAGTCCTAGATTCCCAATACCAAAAAGGGAGCCCCTTTTTATTCCTAGGTTACTGGGGATTTTGTATTCAGCGCCTGCTGTTTGCGGTTCTAGCCTTGGAAATTCTCTTCTTAGTACTGTCGGTGTTGCTAAACAAACCGCAAGAGACAGGGTAACTCATGCACAGACTTTCCAGAGCTGATTAACGATTCCGCGAGACATGAATTGCAAAAAGTCTCTATCTTGCAGGGTCTTTCTGGCCCTCAGAACCCTGTGTAAAGAATACGACGCAACCAAGTGCAAGCCCTAAGCCCCCAGCCCAATCCTTAGCAGCCCACGTCCTCAAGCAGCCAAGGAGATGCGAATGCTCCTTGTTCGGGGGACGCCGGAGCTCCCAAAGAGCACCAACAACGTCGTCCATGACTGATCCAGGGTTCAAGGCTTTGAGCTACCGTTCAAATACCGACCCTTAATATAGCTATTATATACCCATTATAGAGCCCATTATAGGGTAAGGGTCCCGGTTAAGAGTTTCCCCTTTGATAAAGGGTCCTATCTGGCTTACCGTACTAGTACGGGCTGAGATAGTGGCTTACAAAAGGTAAGGGCTGTTGGCTATAATACCGTCTAGTTACATTATTACGGAACTCTTAGCAATGCCATGGGTAATAAGTTCGGATTCACAACACGGATTGCAAGGTTTGGGCCTCACCCCGCAAAATCCCGTAATCCCAAATCCTCCAAAGACCTTGAGCCCCATTAAAAGGATATAGATAGGAGCCCCTGAACAAAAAGCAAAACGTCTAAGCCCTAATCCCTAAACGCTAAACCCCTAAACCCTAAACCCTCTAGCCCCAAACCAACAGCCGTCGTAAGCGCTAAAGTTTTTTGGCAAAGAACTGAGGCCGATTTCCGAAGTCCTGAACCCTCCTCCACAACAGGTTGGGTTCTAGAGTATCGTACTTTAATACCTTTCTGGTATCTGTTCCTTAAAGGAACCAATTATGAAATAGCAGTTATGCCTTTTTGCTTTCTGAAAGGAACCCTTACGCAACAAGCATGTATGATTTCTCTCCCTGGTTACCTGAAAACGCAGCAGGAGTTGGACTTCAATGAGGAGGAAGATCGAGAAAACCTGCGGATCCGGGTCTGTTGGGATTGCGGCTCGGAAGTGAAGAGCGCTCGACATCTCGCAGTCGAACCGTTTTTTTTGTGAAGGGGGGAGGGGGGGGCATAGAGAATCCCAAAGGTTCGCCTTTAGTTCTCCTGGGATGCCAGACGCTAGGGCCCAACAAAAGCACATAAGCAAAACGAAGGTTAGGGATATCCCATATAAACCCCTTATAATGAAGCCCAACAAGGAGGGATATCCCTAAGATCTGCTTATGCTTATCTGCTTTTTGGGTCCCGAGGACCGGTGAGTCGAAACAGCCTGAAATTCTGAAACCTAAAGCCCTGAAGCTAAACGAGTCCCAGGTTTCTGGGCGTGGGCCTAGGCTTCAGTTTCGGGACCCAAAAAGCACATACGCATAAGCATTTTATAGGGATGTCCCTACCTTCTTGCGCTTCATTATAAGGGGGTGTATATGGGAGATCCCTAACCTTATGTTTGCTTATGTGCTTTTTGGGGGGCCTATAGGCTTCAGGGAAGTCTCGAAAGAACGACTTGGAGGGATTCAGGCCCAGGGAGGGCGTATGAAGCCGGCAGCTGGTTTCGGGGTTTGGGTTTTGGGAACCCTAACAGTGGGATCGGGAGTAATTAATATTTTTGAGGGTCCCCTATGTTGTAAGTAGAGTATATTGGAGTTATGAAAACCTCTACATTGCCTTATCACTTGTGTTTAAACCTTGACCCCCGCTCCCCACCACTGTACTTCTGTATGGCGCTTCCGGACAGCCCCTAAGATCTAAACCCTAAACCCTCCAGTTTTACACTTTTCCGTCACCCTCCATGACAGACCTGCCGACCGAGGCTTCGAATCCTGAAGTGATGTAGGAACCTGATTAAGAAACCCTGCACCTAAAACCCCCCAAACAGTAGGATTCATAAGAAGCAACCCTAATAAAGGCCCCAGGGTTTCTTGATCAGGTTCCTACATTAGGGGTCGCCCATTGCCAAGGACTACTTTACCTTTCAGGAGTTCTTTGAATGTTCACCCAGCGCTTAGGGTACCCCAGCTTTTCCGGAGGACCACGAAGATTCCAGGGAGTCATCAGCCCAAGTTAGGGCTGGGGAACCTAAACCCTAAACCCTGGAAAATAGTGAATAGGTGGGGTCAAGTTTGGGTTTAGGGTTTCGGGGAATAGAAAAATTGGTGGGGTTGGGGCTTCGGGGGCTTTGATTCCTCAGGGCATCCTTGCCATGACAAGGCCTCTTCCTGCCATGGTGGCGCCCGCGAAAGGGTTCAAGTCCACGGTCCTTGGTATGGGCACTAAGCTGGCGAAGCTGCGGGTCCGCAACAGGCGGTTAAGGCTTAGGGTTTAGGGACATCCAGACTGGCGGTGTGGATGCAGGCACAAGAGCAGGTGTAGACTCACTTGCAGACGGTGTGGCCTCTGGCCTCTTTGCGATGCAAGATGAAGCAGCCTGCGTGCGACTTCGAGCCGTAGCTTGTCGTCGTGATCACGACAAAGTCGACTTGGCGAGGCCGGCTTGCGCTGATGGTTTAGGGTTGTCGGGTTTAGGGTTTCGGGTTTTCGGGATTTGGTTTCGTCTGGTACACGATTTTGCTTTAGGGCGTTGGGTTTTGGGTTGTGGTCTTGGTGTGTGTTCCCTGGGAGTGGCTTATGAATGCCTTAACTGGCGGCCCAGTCCTACCCCTGATTGTAATCTAATATAGGGGCCAAAATAACTACCAATAGTATTCTGAGGGGGCTCCTTATTATAGTATACAGCATGATGGGCCCCAAAACCCTATTCTAGTTATTGAGACCCCTCTTTTATCGGTTTTTTCCTGCGGACCAGTAGGCTGCTGTAGCGATCGCTAAGGTAAAAATCCGTCCTCAGATGAAGCAGACGACACCGCGGCATCCTTCAACGAATCTCGGCTTAATCCTTGGGCCTTTGCCAAACCCCGATACTGGCTTCCTGCCCCGAAACCCTAAACCCTAAACCCCTAAACCCTACACCGTAGAACCCGGAAGCCTGAAATCCGAAACCCCAAACTTGAAGGACTAAATGACTCCTTTACAGGCATTCATGCGTTCACAAAAAAAACGCTTTGGGGTTATGTTTTAAGATACACATACAGGGACTATCAATGGATATAGGTGCCAATACTTCAGAGCTGAGAAGCATCTACTTTTAGCCCCCACGTGCTGGCGTTCACACCCGGTCGTAGCTTTTAGGCCAAAGGACCCTTGGCCAAGCCCACACCCCAGGACCGCTCAGATCCAAACCCATACATCCGAAGAGCAAGCCCCCAAATCTTTGAACCCACATAGAGGACAGTAATACTAGTAGTAATAGTAATAATCGTAGTAATAGTAACAGTCATAGTAGTAGTAATAGTAGTAATGGTCATAATAATCCTTCAAAGTCCCTAAACACTAAGCCCTCAGCCTTAAACTATCGAAGCCGGAGGATACTGAGCCTGAGGATCCCAATGTGAAGGCGGCCGTCGTCAGAATTTCCCAAACCTCTGTCAGACCCTAAGCTCACAGGAGGCCAAAAGGGGTTTTAGCCTATGGGGGTTTAGTAGAAATTAGGGTTCCCATAACAGTAGGGCTCATATGAAGGAATCCCTACCCCAAGAATCTTAAACCCCCCTTTGGCCTTAAGCCCAAGAGGCCTGCGCCCCCAGGCTAGTTTGGGTCGAGGGCCCATTTGGGGTCTGGGGATACAGGGTTAGGGATATAGGATGTAGGGATTAGGGTTTAGGGATACAGGGCTCAGCTTGGGATCCTCAACTTCTTTCAAAAAAACCTGAACCCTAAACCCCTGAGCCCTAAACTCTAAACCCCCTAAACCAAAAAAAAACTAAACCCTAAACCCCCTAAGCCCCTGAACCCCACTACCCAACAAGAATCAAGGCCTTCTGGCGCTTAGCTCCCGGAGAGCTGGCGCGGCTCGGAGGACCCTTTTCCAAGCGAATACTGCTGATGGACAAAATCCTGCATGACCCTAAGGACTCTAAACGATGGGAACTATGGTATATGTCCTTATAAAGGGTAATGCAGGATTTTGTCCATCAACAGTAGGATTGCCTTGGGTACTGCCCCCACTCAGTAACAGTTGGATAGCTATGGGGTTTCCAACTTTTGGGCTTCTACTGTAGGATTACCTACAAGGTTTAGGATTTAAAGTTTAGGGTGTAGGGGGTGTAGGGTTGAGGGTTCAGGGTTGTAGGATTTAGAGGTTAGCGGTTTAGGGTCCGGGGTTTCTCAATATGCTCAGCAGAAGTCTTTTCGATTGAGGGTTTCAGTGATGTTGGAGGGATTATGGTTTAGGGCTTGGGCTTCGTGATTTACGCTGTTTGGTTCGGGGTCTATGGCTTGAAATCTCGCGGGATTAGGGTTTAGCAAATCCAGGCTCAGGTTTCAAATCTTTGGGGTCGAGGGGCTTGATCCGATACTTAAAGGATCATGGGACTTAGTAACTAGGGTTATAATTAGGGTAACTATACTTATAACCCCGATTAGGGTACTTATAACCTTACTTACTAAGCTACTAAGTCCCATGACCCTCCAAATAGCTCGCGGGCATCCGCAAACGTCTCGCGAATGCGGCAAGCTAACAGGAAATTCCACACGAGACTTGTCGATTGCCAATACCATTCCTCAGAGATCCCTGTTATACTAAGCTTAAGACATTATTTTGCAAGAAGCGCTAGTTTAATTATTCAGGCCCGTTCCTCCGTTCCTTAAGTTGCCAATACTCCTGGATCCTTGGAAGTTCTTTTGCATAATGTACCCAAGAACCCTCTTCCAGGAAGTTCAGGCCCCTGAGACAGGTTTTCAAGTTCAGGGTCTGCCTTAAACTCCGAGAACCTACTTTTCGTAGGTCCGCTTCCTGGGGAGAGCTTTACAACAATTGTGATTTTGTGGAATGAAGCCTAGCTACTTTCCTAGCTTTTCTTCTGTAAGTTTTCATCGTCACTATAAACGAGCCCGAACCTTATTCTGATTCTTAAGGCCCCTACATTAGCTCAGGGTAGGCTCTGCACCGTAGACCTCGGGTCTTAGAGGACCAGATGTGCAAGGCTTCGTGGCCACCTGGCTGGACAGAACATGGAAGTTCATGGTTTATATATTCTAGGGGCCTTAATAATTACCCATACTATTTCGGGGGCTCCTTATTGTAAGCATACTATAATGTTCCCCAAAGCCCAATTCTAATTATTACTAAAGGCCCCTACAGCGGACTGCTCTCTAGGCCTACTCCCCGGGATGTTGCAGTTCTCCCTGCTCGTGGTTTCTTTGAGCTTTTTTGCATGGCTGTGTTGGACAAGAAACTCCACCGGGCAACTTGCTGTCCTGAGACCCTTTGAGGGATCTAGAAAGGCATCTTAGTGAAGGCTTTATCTTACCCGGTGCAACTTTCCACTATCATTACAGATGTTACTACGATACATCGCATTTCATCACACACTCTGTCATATGATACTATACTATGAAATTAAATCATAGATGATACCAGTTTGCGCGGGGTTCTGTTTTCCAGATCCTTCGAAGGCTCGGGGTCTGCACTCTCAAACTGACTCCGTCCCGCGTCCCCCCTCTTTACTTACCTTTGGTTAGTAGGGAATGGAAGAATGGTAGCAATACGGTTGATGATATGAATCCTGCATTACCTTAAGGACCCTCAACTATGGGAATTATGGTATATTCCTTATGGTTTAGATCATCAACCGTAGTAGTTATAGTTGTACCCCATTCTTCCATTCCCTACTAACCAAAGGTAAGTTTACTGTTTACGGGCTGGCACACATAGAGTTCCAAAATAGCACATAAGCAACAACTGGGATACGTAGGCATATCCCATATTATAAAGCTCCTGAACATCACGCTCAAACAGGGTATCCCCGAAATCGACTGATTTTACTAAGCATAGACAGACAGTGCTACTGCCACGGCCCTGAGACCAAAAGCCTGCACCAGAATTGCATGACGACAACAGATTAACGGGTCTTTGCATGTCAAAAAACATCCCGGAAGTCAAAATTTCCTACTGGCTGTGCCAGCTATTCGTTCATTTGAGGATGTTCTTGACCTAGTCGTCCGTTCGGGGGACTTCCCCACTCTTTCTGCAGGGCTTTCATCACGGCGTCCATCGGGTGGTTCGCTTGAAAGTGCATGATTTGAAACGGCGGTTTACTGTACCAGAGGTGACCTTCCCACGCTTGGAGAAGCGAAAGCACCGATGACATGCAGCGCGACTCATTCGGTACCCATCGAAATTCACAGAACCTCGCAAAGCTTCCCCGGCAACTTGAAGTCCACCACGCCCAGCTCGCCTCATGAGTTCCCAGCATATGATTAGTAGGGTCACTACTGTTAGTTGATTTGGATATTACTACTGTTATGATTCTGATGACGCTTGCTATTATCCTTCCTTAACACGCCTAGACCTAAGGGCACAGACAGCCTGATACCGTTCCGTGTGTACGTAATTCAACCCCATTCAGCAAACCCTCGGCCCAGAACACTGGGCCTTAATTCTAGCTGTGTTTAAGAGATTATCGATATCTTGTCGGGTGTCTGCTTGCAAGATGAGTATTGACTTTGAGGCGTCGAAAACCATAGGCCTAATGCAGAAGCGCACATCATTACCAAGAATATCAGGATTCCTTATTACTATACAAGAACCCCAAACTGAGACGATCCCCCGATCAAGGTCACCGTCTGGCATGGCAAGCAGACGTTGCTGGGCTCTGAAATATGTACCACGAAGCCTAAATCCCTAAACCCTACATCCCTGAACTCTAAAACCTGGCCGGGGCCTTAACCGAGTTTAGGGTGTTGCGTGCGGGATTTAGATTGGGGGCTCAGGGACGAAAACTTGATTTTTCCATCACACGTGGATTTCAAGCCTGCTTGCGCCGTATTCCGAACCCTGAACCTCAGAATCCTGCAACCCCTCGACCTCCCAAGCCGTACAGCCCTTAAACCCTGAAGCTTATAGAGCCATGCACAAGTGCGACGGACCCTATGTAGATCCTGAACATATGTAAACACGTTAAATCTTAAACCCGGAAATCCTGAAACCCGAAGAGGCTGTCGCTGGCCCGGTCGATGGCTTTCGGACTGGGCATCTGCACCGATGTCACTTGTAAGAATTAGGGCTGCTCGTCTCTCTGTGAAAGGGCTCTGGTAGGTGGCGGGGGTTGTGCCAGGGTTTTCGTAGGAGCCATTACCCAGTTCTGAGTATGGTAGAGGCCCTCGGTTACATTTTTGGGACTGCCAAGTCTAATGTAGGGGCATTAGTAAATCATTAGTATAGCCTAGATCACCCGACACTGCCCTGTTGCTCTTTGCCTTTTGTAAAGCTGGACAACAGGAAACAGGAATCCGGTTCGAGCTACTCAACCCGAGAGTCTAAACCTTAATCGGCCAGCTGTAGTGACTTATGTGCAGTCGGAAGCGAGCGCCAAAGCGAAGCTAATTTGGGAGGAAGGTCCAGGGGTTGAGGGTTGGCACTTGGGCCTTGGGTCCACAGATTCTGCGCCGTGTGAAGGCTGGCTGACTCGGACTGACGGGGCATGATATAGAAGCCTGACAAAAGTCACATTTTCCGGAGGATAGTATGATACACCCAAAGCCCTTCTCTGGCAAATAAGACCCCGATTGAATTTAAGGCTTGGCGGGGCCAAGTCGAGATGTAGCAGGGGGTGTTTGTTCTTCCCTCAGCCGGTGAGCCGAAGGAGGGCCTGAGATTTACGGGACAACCCTGCTTCTAGCTTGCAGAACTTGCGAAGACACCAGTTCTAGCACTGTCAAGATGAAGGCTCAAAAAATGTAGACGTTCATGTCATAATCGTTCCTTTAAAGTATTCCTAAACCCCTAAACCCATTCAGTTCCTATATCTTACCATCGTCAGAAAGGCTCAAGCCAAGACGCCTTCTGGAACTCTCAAACATCGTTCGTGTCCCGTTCTTCTATCGCCCTCAACCCTTGATGGAAGCCCACAGTCCTTACAAAGCAAGGGAGCCCAGTCATAATCAAAGGGGAAAAGGAGGGACCCTTAATGGGGACCCCTAGGTATATACCCTTAAGATAGCCATTATCTACCCATTATATAGCCCATTATAGGGTAGGGGTCCCCATTAAGGGTCCCTCCTTTTCCCCTTTCTCATAAGGAAATACTCAGCATGTACTGAACTCAGAGATCAGAGCCCTGCACTCTGTTAGAAAAAGACTCACCCTGAGTCCCCCCCACGAAATCGCATAAAGCCTTATAAACCCTTAACGCCGACAGCCCAAAACCTTCTCAATTCGGAAACCTCGTATCCCAATTGAGGCCCAACATATAGATCCCTCACAGCCCTTTAAATTCAAACAGAGTCCTAAACCCTTTAAACCTGAAAGCTTGATGCAGGAACCTGGTTAAGTATAACCCCAAAATAGTAGGAACAACCCCACATCTGTAGTTTGGTTCCTACAGTTGACACGACATAAGCCCTGTAGCAGAGTGAGTAACCTCTAACCTTTTCTGGGTAGTATAGTCTAACCTTTAGTTCCCCATGGTACCCGACAAGTAGGATACTAAACCCTAAACCCTAAATCATTAGACATGCTGTCAAGTTCCTGTTCTGAGTGTGGCTGTCTTTGTAGTGTAGGCCGACTATGGCTGGATCATTTCGCAGAAAGGGTCCAGTGCACTTTAAAAAAAAATCATTAACCCTAAACCCTAAATCATTAACCCTAAACCCCTAAACCCTAAACCCTAAATCATTAGACACTACGTACATAAGCTCTGAAGCTTTAGATGTTGCCCGCCCAACGCGGGCTGCGGAGCTGCAGGCGATGTCAGGGGCCCTTAGGTCCCTTATTATGATTATAGTATCACAATATAATCGGTTTAGGGTTTAGGGTTTAGGGTGACAATATAACATAGGGGCCTCAACGATTACCTATACTCTTTTTGGGGTTCCTCTTTATGATGATCGAAAAATAGACCCCAATTCTAACAATTAAGGTCCCTTTTCTATTCCTCGGCAGGTGATCCACCAGCCAGCGGTTGATGAAGAAGCTCTGAAGGCAGAGGCTGCACCTGCAGTCGCCGAGGTGGAGCATCTGCAATTAGTTGGGCTCTGTTAGGGCTTCCAGTGATGTTGTCAGGTTTGAGGGTTTAGGGCTTCGATTTTAGGAGCTTTATAAGGGGTGCTTAAGGGAATCCAACGGGCTTTATAAGAGCGTTATAACGATTTGTACGGGTGCGAAAGGGTGTTGTAGGGCTCGTTTAGAGTCAAGGGTTTCAGGGTTTGTAGGTACATGAGGGGCTGGCATGCCTATGTGGTTGTACTTATCCTGAGTGTGTACCTGCAGTCCAACAAGCTACTTCCCCATGGCCCCGTAATTTACAGTAGTTTCTGCATTCCTTAGAACACCAGGCCTTTTGCACTGCCTGTAGGTGATGGTGGATTGCGAGCACCTCTACAGACGAAAGTCTTTGGATGTTCAGCGGGGTTAGATCCGATACAGACAGACGGCAAAGAGGCGTCACCTCAAGTTCAACAGAAGTGGCCCCAACAAACACCCCGGGATTCCGATAGAAACCCTTAATATAGCTATTATATACCCACTATATGGCCCCATTATAGGGTAGGGGTCCCCATTAAGGGTCCCTCCTTTTCCCCTTTGATAATCTGCACCAACACTGGAGCAGTCAAACGGTTGAGAGTGTTGGGTTTAGGGTTTACCTGGACCCCAAATAGCTTACTTTTTTGAAGGAGTTGTACGTACAAGGAAATCATAAAGGGAACCCTAGGAAGGAAGGCTTTTGAACTTTTGTAGGGTCCAAGCAGGGTTTCGTTGAATTCTGATCCCTCGACCGACTCTCGAAGTTTTCGCTACAAGGAGCCAATCACTTTGCCGATGCGGCTGGGATCGCCGAGCCTTTTCCCACAGGCACGTCCGTCCTGAGTCAGGGACGCAGAAAGCACATATAGTAGAAACCAGAAAGTTGGACTCACTATCCTCATGCCCTTAAGGTAAAGTATAAGGGATCCTAGCACTAATCCTCTTAAAGCCATGTTCCAACTCACTGGTTTCTACTATAAGCATGAGCATTTTATAGGGTTATCCCTACCTTGTTGGGCTTCATTATAAGGGGGTATGTGCCTTTTGGGGCCCTACTGAGTGTTGAGCATCTTCAAGTTGTTTTTGGTGGTCCTTAGCATTGTCTTCTTCATCACTAGGATGCCCAGTACTACCCTTATTCCCTTTTTGTAGTCCTAGGCTCCTTATAAAGATGCCCAATACCAACAAGGGAGCCTATTGTATTCCTAGGTTGCTCGGCATCCTAGATCATGACAAGAGCCAAGGAGTTAAGGAATTAAGGAACACAGAACTGTAGTTTGAGTCTCAGGGGCTTGTAGTGGTGTCAATCCAGGCATCCCGAAGGTTTGCGGTGATGCCGCTGGTGACTCTAATGTAGGAACTTGCTTAAGAAACCTTCGGGCTTTTATGAGGGTTCCTTATATGAATCCTACTATTTTGTGGGGAAAGAGGCCCAGGGCTTCTTAATCAGGTTCCTACATCAGCGACAATGCCACAACAGTGTGCACTGCATTAAAACCCTTGCCTCTGCATGAAAGCTCTGGACCTTCAATCCTGAGAGCCCTAAAACACAACCCAACCTGTACTCTGAAGTAGCCCTAAATCCTCAGCGGCTTTAGTCCGTATACCCTAAGTCCGTATAGATCCCTATCGGCACCCTATTCGAGAATCCTTCAACCCTCTTCGACTCTTTCTAGGATCCCTATAAGAGAGTCCTTTAAACCTCCTCGGCCCCAAGACTATAGTCTCCTTAGGAATTATTGTGTATGTCGTGTATTTTTGATCATTTAAAACCCAAGAGAATATTTAAGAAAGTATTGGTTTTATTATGGTTCTAAGGTGGTATAGCCTAATCAATTCGGTGTTGTAGGGATCGGAGGAATTAGAAGCAGAATGCCCGTAGATGTTTACATCTTCGAAGAGAGTCCTTTAGAAATCTTTTCGGCCCCAGGAGCCCGTAGGGGGGGGGGGGGGGGGGGGGTTTAAAGTAGGGGCCTTAAGAATAGGGTTTTGGGGCCAATTATGGTATAGTTACAATAAGGAGCCCCCCGAAATAGTGGAGCTAATCATTGAGGCCCCTAGAATAGGGTTTAGGGTATAGAAGAGCCCTCTTAGGGCCCTAGTATATTCCTATTTTACCACTATTACAGGGTGGGGGCCCCTTGAAAGGTATACTTGGAGGGTCGGGGGACTTAGTAAGTAGGTAGTAAGTAGACTTATAAGTACCCTAAAAGGGACCCTAATTGGGGTTATGGTACTTATAAGTCCCTAAAATAACCAGTCACTAAGTCCCCCAAACCCTAAACCCTAAACCCTTACAGAATCCCTATAGATCCCTTTACAGGACCCCTTTAAAGGAACCCCTTATAGTTACTAAGTCCCCCGACCCTCCAAGTAAGGAGCCCTTGGCCCCCTAAGAGCCCGTTGAGGCTCTTATCGGTCCCTGGGTTCGTGGCCTCACGGTGCTCGAGGTGCGCGAGGCGCGGCATCGAAACCAGACTCCGACTCCGAACTCCGGATGGGTGGTTGTCGGTTTAGGAGTTTAGGGGTTTAGGGTTTAGGGGGTTAGGTTTTAGGGTTTAGGGGTTTAGGGTTCAGGGTTCTAAGGGTTTAGGGTTTAGGGATTCCTGTTACTGACGGAGAGTAATTCCCTTAGTAGTACTGAAAGTTTAAACTTTGTTGGGCTTATGAACTTGAACTCGGCAACTAAGTTCCTAATATTTGTCTTGGTTCCCAGTTAAGATTTTGCAGAACTCCAAATCCCAATTGTAATGGTTAATGAACCAAAGCCACTCTTCTCTATCAGTCAATGTGGGTGGTTGTCAATATTAGGGTCCCTTTTTGGAACCTTGTTATGGTGCGGCATCTAATGTTTAGGGTACCCACCATAATTTTGACAACCACCCAGATTGATGGCCAGGTGTCGCAAGATAGGGACGCTGCATATAAAGACCCTAGAAACATGCTTCGCTTGAGCTGGGAGGCGCCTGGGTTCCTCTTTCTTCGCCCGTTTTGGCCGGGGGCTGGCATAGCCGCCATCTGTGCTGCGAAGGGTCTTTTGTGCTATATGTTGTTCCTGCATTTGCTTGTTCAAGAAAACATGGGTTGTTGCAATCAAGACATCTCCAGAAAAGGCAACCGAGATATCGCTGCAAAGCCGGCTAAGGCATCCAGGATCTCTTCGTTGAGTTTTTCAGACATGATAGTGGTCGAAAGAACTACAAATAGTATCCCTTTGGGGCGCTTGTCTTTTTCGATACAGCACACCCTAGAACACCATTCTCTCTGTCAACGCCCCTGTAGTCCAGCGTTTGGCTTCACTGAACCTGAACAACAAAGAGTCTCAATCTCACATCCCAACGTCTCCGCAGTCCTAAACCAATGTTTCAGTACTTCAAAGTTTGACCGCAAAGAAGGCAGTGCTTGCTCATGTGCTTGGAGTATTTAGTTGGCTGGCAAAAGATAGAA